AAGTAAAGAGGTTTTTCTGAGTGAGCTGATACCCAAAGGCAAGGGCCGAAAAACATCCTCCGGGGCCCTGAGAGAGGGAGAAAGGCGCAAAGTGTACCCCTAACAAAATATTCAATTATCTATCAAAACGGGGAGATTGCCTGACAGGGAAGACAGCAAATGTAGTCCCAATTTTTAAAAAAAGGGAACAACATAAAGCACAAACTACAGACCAGTGTCACGACATGATAGTATGCAAAGTCATGGAGAAATTGTCAGGGGAAGAGTGGGGGAAAACACCTAAAAGGAATGATCCATCAACAGCAGCCAACAGGGTTTCGGGGCCCGGGAAATTTGTGTCAAAAACCCTACTGGGTTCTATGAAAAGGGTGACACAGAAAGACAAGGAAGAGGGGTGGGGGATTGCATTTTTTTGGGGAATGCAAAAAGGCGTTTTAAAAAATTTACCACACAAGAGATTAGTGAAAAAAATGGGGGCCCAAGCGGGGAAACGGGGAAGGCACTACAATGGATCGGGGAATACTTGTCAGGAAGACGCACGAGCAATGGACGTGGCGAGGTGTCAGAGTGGGCCCCGGGGCCAGGGGGGCCCCCACGGGGGTTCAGTCCTAGGCCATTGATGTTTCGGGTATTTGTGAACGACATGACGAAGAATAAACTCTGGGGTGTCCCGTTGAGAACGGAATTGATGAGAAAAATTCATTCATCGAAGCCCGGCAGAACTAAAAAGGGACGGGGAAGGCGGGGAAACTGGTCCGCAACTGGCCCCGGATTTAAATCCCCCCAAAGTGCAAAGTCTAAAGTTTGGGGAAAACGCAAAGAAGCCGGAAACTGATTCAGTCTAGGGGGCCGAGATAAAAAACCTCACTCAGGGAAAAAAGTTTTTGGGGTGAGTCCCAAAAAACCGGGCCCACATCTCCTGAATGCCATCAACCAAATAACTGCTGCAGCATATGGGCCCTGGCAAACCTCAGAACAGCTTCGGGCACTTAAAAAGGAATCGTTCAGGACCCTGTACACCGTGTCGTTAGGCCCTTTTTTTGGAGTATGGGGCACATTTTGGAACCCACACCTAGCCAAGCATGAAAAGAACAGAGAAAGGAAAAGGTTTGCAACAAGACTAGCCCCCAAGCTAAGAGGTATGTCAACAGGGAGGTAAGGAAATCAACAAAGGGAGGACGGGAAAGATAAGGGGGGGACATGAAAACGACTTACAAAATACTGGGGGAATTGACAAGGGGGAAAAAGCAGGTGTCCAGAGACTGGACACAGAAAACACGGGGACACATTTGGAAGCTGAAGACACAGATGAATCAAGGGATTTTGGGAAGTTTTTCTTCACCAGAGAGCAGTCAGGAAGTGGAATAGGGGGGGGAAAGCGATTAGTGGAGGCGGGATCATACATAGTTTTAAGCAGAGGACGTAAAGCTAAGGTTTTCGGGGAAGTCCCCTAGTCACCGTGAAGAGGGGGGGGCCAAAGGCTTGGACTCGACCCTGCAACCTCAACAGGGAATACAACTAGGTGAGTACATCAACACACACAACACACACACACACAACACACACACACCCAAAACCACACCACCACACAACACAACACAACACACACACAGATAAATCACGGGGATGTTTAGGAAGAAATTTCTTCACCACAATATCAGTAAGTAATATTTTGGGGGGGGGGGGAGCGATGTAGGGAGGCGGGATCCATAAAAGCTTTAAGAAGGTTGATAAGATCCCCGCTTAGGGAGATGACCATAGCTCAGTGAAGAGGGGGCCCGGAGCTCGGGACTCGACCCCCGAAACCTCACTAGGGGGAATAATTTGGTGATACACCACACACATCCACACACACACACCACACACCACAACACACACACCCACACACCACACAACACACACCAAACAAAACACCGTCCTCTCTTTCACTTTCCCTCTCCCTTCTCTCTCTCTCTCTTTTCCTCGACCCTGCAACCCAACTTGTGATAAAACACACACCTACGCACAGACACACACACAGCACACCACACACACACACACACGCACACACACAACACATACACACACCACACACATAAACACACACCAACACACACACACACACACACACACCACACACCACACACACACACAAACACACAGCTCGGGGAAGCAGAGAGGGGGGACCAGTAGCGATCAGTAAATTGGGGGGGCCAGGAGCTGAGTCTAAACCCGAAACCAAAATTTGGTGATACACTCACACACACAAAGAAACCACACACACAAACGCACACACACACACAAACACACCACACACACACCCCAACACACACAACAACACACACACTTTTGTTTTCCTCCTGATGTGGCTGTACAACAGTTTGGGTAAATTTTGGTTTCGCTGTATGTCATTTTCATATGTCTTTGGGCCTCCCTTCTTATCTGTGCATATTCTTTTTGGGCTCACGACGTTCCCCTTATTCTCCTGGGGGCCTTTGCCTTCTTATTTCTTTTATTCCCCACACACTTGGTTTTTGCCTCCCTGCACCTTTGGGTAAAACCCGGGCTCATCCCGGCTTTTTCATTATCTGTTACCCTTGGTACAAAAATCTCCTCCCCCTTTCATTTTGTTGCACAATTCCATATCTCATTAAATGGGTTCCCCGCCATTCTCTGTCCCCAAATGAAACCCCCTTCAGGGAGTTCCTCATTCCCGGTAGTCCCTTTCGTTAGGACCCTTTTCCCGAAAACGTAGGGCCCCCTATTGGAGTATGCGGACCATTTGGGAAACCCCCACCACCCAACACGTAAAGAAACAAAAGAAATCAAAGGGTTTTTTCAAAAGACAGTCCCAGAGCAAGAGGTTGTCCTACAGGGGGGTTTAAGGGGAAAACAACCCGACGACACTGGGAAAAAAGGGAGAGATAGGGGGACAGATAACGACATACAAAAACTGAGAGGAAAAACAAGGTGGAAAAGAAGAGTTCCAGAATTGGACCCAGTAACAAGGGGACACAGTTGTAACTAAGACACAATGAATCCAGGATGTTTTGGGAAATATTTCCTTCAGCCACGAGAGCAGTAAGTGGGAAAAGTTTGGGAAGCGATTATGGAGGAGGGTCCATACAACTTTAAGCAAGGGAGATAAAACCCACGGCTCAGGGAGAGTGACCTAGTAGCGATCAGTGAAGAGGGCCCGGGGCCCGGGGCTCGGACTCACCCCCGCAACCTCAACAAGTGAGACAAATAGGGGGGTACACACACCACACCACACACACACCACACACATACAACACAACACACACACCACCAAAACCACACCCACCCCCACACCACAACATACATACACAAAACACACAACCAAACACACACACACACACACACACCACCCACACACACAAAACACACAACAACACCACACACACAACCTCCTTTTCCCTCACCTCTCCCTTCTCTCTCTTCTCCATCCCTTTCTCCTCGACACCTCAACACAACTAGGTGATACACACACCCCCCCACCCCCCCACCCACACACACACACACCACCCACAACACACAACACACCACACAAACACAACACCAACACACATACACACACACACAAAACCACACACAAAAAACCGTTCCCTTTTTTCTCCCGACCCCTGCAACCATAAATTGGTGAACCACACACCGCACACACACACACACACACACAACACACACCACACAACACACACAAACAAAAACACGCACACACCCCCAAAAGCACACACACAACAACAAAACACACACACAAAGCTCAGGAAGGAAAAGGGGAGAGGGCCCGGGAGGATCAGTGAAGAGGGGGGCCAGGGGCTGAGTCTTTACCCCGCTACCACAAAAAAGGGGGAGTAAAACACAACCAAAAGACATACCACCACACACAAACAAACACACACACACACACACACACACACACCCCACACACACACACACACACACCCCACCACCATCTCTCTTTCCCTCTACCTCTTCTCTCTTTCTCTCCCTCCATCTCCCCTTTTTCCTCTATCTCCCCTTCTCTCTCTCTCTCCTATCTCTTTTCCCCCCTTTTCCCCTACCTCTCCCCTTCTCCTCTGAGAGGGGGAAAAAGAAATGGTGGGGCAGAGGGGGAAACCCAAGGGCCCAGGATCGGGGGAAAAATGGTTTTTGGAAGGGGGGAATGGATGGAAGAGCATTGCAAAAGGATGGATCAAAAGGGAGAGAAACTAGGAGAACTTTCTACAAAAAAGAAGGCAGAGCTTTCTCTTTGAAATTTGGAAAAAATGGTTTAATTAGAAGAAAAAAGGTTTCCAAACGAAAAGCTAGCAGGATAAGAGCCCAAAGATGAGGTAAAAAGGGTGAAGCAGGTTACAGGGGTATTGACCAGAGACAACACAAAGAAGCTGGGGGCCCAACGAAAGAAGTAGGTAAACTTTTGCAAGGCCACATCAGCCTACCAAGCATGCCCAGGAGTGACGGGGGGGAGCAGTGGGTGCAGGTGGAGAGGTATTTCAAATGCAGTAGCACGAACTCCACCCAAAACACAGGAAGAAACAAGGGGGAAAATGGGCCAAATCCCCCCCAAAAGGGAACCCCGAGTCCAAAAGGGAAAAGGCAAGGGATGAGGATTGGGGGAAGTCGTGTTTTTCAGGCTTTAGGAGAGCCCGGGAAGGCACCACGAAACACGCAGGCAGAAAGAAGGAAAAATTGAAACATCATCACAGAAAAAGGTGAAGAGGACATGTCAAAAAATTTAAAAATTTTTAGAGAAAAGGGATAAATTTAAGGGTAAAACTATAATAAGCTGATTTCAAACGAAACGTGTGGAAAAGGATTCTCCAAAGAACCACGGCGAAGGACTCACGAAATTTAAGAGATGCTCCTTGACTGAGACGAACACAAACAGTACTCTGTATCCGTCTGTACCGCAGTCTGGCTGTTACACAGTCATGTATATATCGCTGTTCGTGAAAGGAGTGCCGAGTCTTCACTATTCTTCGCTTGTGTATATGTTTCAGAGAGGAAAGTATGAGTACAAGATCCCTGGCAGCGCCTCCGTTAGGGTTCAGCTCTTGCCCGAGGCGAGTACCTCCTACACCTTTCTGGAGGGGGCAGAGGGCAGGGGCAGAAACCCCTCCGAGTCCTCCACGCTGCCCCCAGACGTACCAGGGGTGCTAGACTTTTTCTCCCCTAACAACTTCACCGCCTACGTCAGGATGGACTGCGTTGATGTCACAACCTGTCACTCCACACCAGACATCACCCTTCATGCCCACGCTCCGTGAGTTTCGTTTTTTTTTTTACCCATTCCCATGACGCGGCATGGGTTTAGTGATCAAAGGCAATGTAATAATAATAATAATAATAATAATAATAATAATAATAATAATAATAATAATAATAATAATAATAATAATAATAATAATAAAAATAATAATAATAATATACTATGACTTGGAACATTACCAAACTTTTGCCTCTCTGATAGGAAAGCTCTGTGAAGAGCTCTACACAGCAAAATAGTGTCCCAGGAAAAGCTAACTTTCCTCCTTCTGTCTTCACTCCCATGCACTTCAATTTGCTGTCATACACCTTTATTTCTTCCAATGCCCAAACATGTATATCTTCATTCTCCCAAGTATTCCATGTAATATATACTCCCACGTAGTTCCCAAAGCACTATCTTGATCCTTTGCTCCCACCACTCCGAGGACAGGCAGCAGCTGATGATAGGAGAGGACCAACTAGTGCTGGAAGTGGACCTCGAAGTGAGGAACGACACAGCCTACGAGACGGTACTGGTGGTGGCCTACCCTCCTGGCCTACACTACGTTAGGGTCGCCTGGAAGACTCACTTGCCAGACTGTAGGCCCACTAAGAAGAACGAGCGGGGCCACAGCACTCTCACCTGCCGCTTCACCTTCGAACTCTATGATGGAGACCAGGTGAGAGATAGGGAGGGAGAGATGGGTTGAGGGAACGGTAGGTACAAGACGAGTAAGGAGGGGATGGGAAGAGAGACTGATTTTACTAACTTGGTGATAGTTGGATTTATAAGCAGGAGTTGACTTTTGACTTCTTCGGGTCAAGATGGTAAGGAGACAAAAGTGCAGTTACATGGAGACTACTGACGACATTTAGCTCACGCAGTGGGTGTTATCTAGAACCTGGTATGGGAGGTAGTAGTGAGTAGCAGTGAAGTGTGCATCAGGCCACATTGATTGCCATTTATGTGAGGAGTATTCTGTTATGAGGCTCAGCTTGGAAGAAGTTGTTGGAAACACTGTTACGTACACCTTCGCTGCATCATCTTCAATGGCTGTGGTTCTACTTGGCCATTAGCAGAACCACTTCAATTTATCATGTGAATGCTGGAATTACGGTGAAGTAGAAGTTTAAAGGTTTTCTGCCTTGCTGGTACATTGGTACATTGAAAGGTGCTTGTGAAGGTCTCTAGATGTTTCTCCTATACAGAGTTTGTCAATGTTGTTACATGAGATGGTGTACACTCTTACAGAGGTTGGCTTATTTTGGTGGTGTTTCTGTCTTGTGGTTTTTAATAGAAGTTGAGACAGTGGTAGCCATGTTGAGTTTGCTGTTAAAAATCTTGGAGATGTGTTTGGTAACGGAGTTGAAGGGGAGGATTACATATCTCCTTTCTTTGCTGTCAGTTCTGGGAAAATTGAAAATAATACGAAGACGTTGTATTCATTTCCTGATGAAATGTCAAGGGTAGTGCAGTATGGTGATATTTTATGCGAATAGTGGATTTCATACCAACAACGCGATCTTCACATCTACTCACACCGTGACTCAGGAATAAATTTGATGTTCTCCTAGTTATTTTTTTTCGTAAGAGCTCTCAACATTTCTAATGGTGAATTTCATAAAGAAAAGGGCTGCTTCGTTTAACAAGTATTCGTCAGATTTCACTACTCGAGACATTTCATCAGGGACTGCAGACGATGTGCTTATACCATCATCAATTCACTCAGATTCGGCCCCACGGAAAGAGTTACGTAGTCTTGCCAACAACTTTCTTTGCCAAACACGTCACCGAGATCATCAACAACAGTCTCATCATATCTGCCATTGCCTCATTTTCCCTCAAACACATCACCATACAGGAACAGCATCAACACAACTCCACTGCTGCAGTGTACATCATCCCATGTAGTTAAAACATTTAGAGATCTCAACAAGTGCATTTCAGGACAACAATACACCAGCAAAACAGAAAATATTAAAAACGCCTGCATAACACACTAATTCTGAGAGCACTTCAACTTAGTGTGCCATTAAATGGCAAAAAGAACGATAGATGAATGGTTCAGAGAACCGACAAGTTATACTGTTGAGAAATGGTTTACCAGCTAAGGCTGATTAAATATAGGGAATACTTGGCTGATAAGACAGATCATCGTCCACACAGCCGCCCCTGCAGACGAGGTCTTGAGAAGCTGTATCATCCACTTCACAACGGGCTGAAAAAGATTATATTATGCAATAGTAAATTATCCCAAGGGGGTGTTATGTCAGCATATTTCATTCACTGATGGCTGACGTACGTACTTGTGTGGACTCAAAAGTCCACACCTCACTGCCGACTATAGGTTAATTACAAACTCCTTGTGACACAAGAACTGCACAGTCCCATGTACTACAAGAAATCTAAAACCCACCTTGCTCTTGTAGCGTAAGCTATGGTGTTCTTCACACCCTCGACAGGTATCGGTGACTTGATAGAAGCTGAAGTGTCCTTGGATGTCCACGTCTTCCATAGTCTAGGAATACGCACGCTGGTACACTATGTTCCACAAGATTTGTCTTTATTGTTCACAGTCTTATCACTGAAGAAGCTGATCACACTTCTCTGTAAGTGTTTATTGTGTTTTGTGAGACACTTTGTTCACACTAACGCACGGATCAGTGTTCTTTGTTGGTTATCCTGGTGTCAGTGTGACTCTCAGTAGAGTCAAAAGTAATCTGACCTCACAGCGCCCTAACATAAAGGAAAAGCAGACCTAGTACTTTTTGCTTCCTTGCCAAATTTCTCAATGAAGCAAAGCAGAATGTTTGATTCTTGCTGTCTTAAGCATAGACAACAATGTACACTATCTTTACCATGGTAATAAAGTGGGAGCAGGATTTTCCTTAAGTGTCCTACTAAGGTAAAAGATGGACTGTTTTTTATTAAACTACACTTTGCAACACTGGCATGCAAGGAGCAGCGGTCGCTTGACCACGTCGCATACTCGTACTTCATCTGGGATCAATTACTTGCTGTAGCAGTAAACAAGATGCTTGTCCCTTCTGAGAGGGCTGGGCCCCTCAGGGCTGAAAGGGGCTGAAAGGGGCTGAAGGGGGCTGATACCCCACTCCTGGAGGAAATTTCTCCACAAGTTGATAAATTAGACTCATGTGCAACACTTGGGTATCTTTATTGTGGAAACGTTTCGCCACACAGTGGCTTCAGACCAATACAAAGAATAGTGAAGATCAGATGAAGATCGAGGTAATCAATCCCTCAGCCTGGAGTCGATGTAATTAGTCCATCAATCTTGATAAGAATTGTTTACTTATCAGACTCAGTAGCAACTTCAACCACTACAACGGTTTCTACAATTTACTGAATCTCTTGCTAGAACACTCGAACACACACCTCACTTCTTCATTCCACCTCCAATCATTAGAAGTTCTTCCTATTGTACCAAATACATCATCTGTCTCTGGCACAAAATCCACTGCGAGCGCAAAACATTGTCAGTAACAGTTCCGTGTAAATACACCTGCGTCTTGATGTGATCGTGACAGCATTCTATAATATTATATACCAACCTCCGCAGGTCACGCTGACCTTTGTGTTCAGTCAATCACCCGTCATCCTGTTGACGCAGAGCGATGACCTCGACCTGACCTTTCACCTAAAAGTCAGCAGTGACAGCAAGGACCTTAACGAGGCTGACAACGTACTTGACCTTACAGTAACGAAATCCAGTAGGGTCAACCTTTTAGTTGATAGGTAAGTAACAAAGGCCTATGATCAGTTATATATATATATATATATATATATATATATATATATATATATATATATATACATTATTGTACCGACGGAACAAGTAGTATTGATCAATAACAACACTGCTCTGGCCAAGGAGTTGAACCCATGCTGTTTTGGCCTGCCTCATGGTGAAAGAAAACGCATGACGCTTTAGACCACTAGACCACACAATCCTTAACAATGGTGCATCCACCAAAGCTAGATGTTGTACTCACCATCAAAGGACATATGGTGGTGTGGACGCCTCTGAGCTAATTTCATTTTACTCCCTGTTTGTGTACTAGCTCAACAAGCAGAATATTATATTATTGTACCCACGGAACAAGTGGTATTGATCAATAACAACACTGCACTAGCGAAAGGGTCGTACCCATGCTGTTTTGGCCCACCTCATGGTGAGAGAAAACGCATGACGCTCGTTAAGGATTGTGTGGTCTAGTGGTCTAAGGCTTCATGCATTTTCTCTCACCATGAGGCGGGCCAAAACAGCATGGGTTTGACTCCTTGGCTAGTGCAGTGTTGTTATTGATCAATACCACTTGTTCCGTGGGTACAATAATATAATATACTGCTTGTTGAGCTAGTACACAAACAGGAAGTAGAATGGAATTAGCTCAGAGGCGTCCACACCACCGTATGTCCTTTGATGGTGGGTACAACATCTAGCTTTGCTGGATGCACCATTGTTAAGGATTGTGTGGTCTAGTGGTCTAAAGCGTCATGCGTTTTCTCTCACCATGAGGCAGGCCAAAACAGCATGGGTTCGACTCCTTGGCTAGTGCAGTGTATATATATATATATATATATATATATATATATATATATATATATATATATATATATATATATATATATATATGCAATAAGGATTGCTTTTTAGAACAGTTTGTGACAGAACCAACTAGAGGAAACAATCTTCTTGACTTGGTTCTTGCCAACAAAGATTCACTAATTAATAATCTTGAGGTTACTGGTGAGCTTGGGGAAAGTGATCACAAATCATTTAGTTTCAATATTTCATGGAATTACTCAGATAACTGTAATCAAATCTCTGTCCCACATTTTTATTTGACCGATTTCATGGGACTGAAAAATTACCTGGGTGGGCTAAATTGGGATGTCCTGACTATGGGTCAGGTAGGTGATCTTGTTTGCCAGTCTGACGTTTTTCAGAGCATAGTTCTAGCTGCCCAGACAACATTTGTTCCGAGTAGGGAAATTAGATCTAACAAAAATGATCCCAAATGGATAAACAATAGATTAAAACATCTCATTGGTCAAAAAAGATGCATATATACGCGTATCAAAAGAGGGGAGGGGCAGTTAAGAAATCAATATATTCAATTAAAAAGAGAAATAAAGAGAGGAATAAGAAAAGCAAAAAGGGATTATGAGGCTAAGGTCGCAAGGGATTCGAAGACTAACCCAAAAGGGTTCTTTCAGGTATACAGAAGTAAGATTATGGATAAGATAGGCCCACTTAAGGGTAACTCTGGTCAGATGACTAACAGTGATAAGAATATGTGTGAAATTTTCAATACTTGCTTCCTCTCAGTTTTTTCCCAGGAAAATACTAGCGAAATTCCTGAAATAATAGATTATGTAGAGCAGGACGATAATAAACTATGTACGATTGCGGTAACTAGTGACATGGTCCTCAGACAAATAGAGAAACTAAAACCTAACAAATCCCCAGGCCCTGATGAACTGTTTGCAAGGGTGTTAAAGGAATGTAAAGAGGAACTTAGCATACCTTTGGCTAATCTTTTTAACATATCACTACAAACTGGCATAGTGCCTGATAAGTGGAAAATGGCAAATGTAATACCTATTTACAAGGCAGGTGACAAGTCCTTGGCTTCGAACTATAGACCAATAAGCCTTACCTCCACAGTGGGAAAATTTATGGAATCAGTAATTGTCGAAGCAATTCGTAGCTATCTTGATAGGCACAGATTGATTAATAAATCTCAACACGGTTTAACAAAGGGGCGTTCCTGTCTTACGAATTTACTAACTTTTTTCACTAAGGTGTTTGAGGAGGTAGATCATGGTAATGAATATGATATTGTGTATATAGGCTTCAGTAAGGCTTTCGACAGAGTTCCACATCAGAGGCTATTGAGGAAACTTAAGGCACTCGGAATAGGAGGAGAAATTTGTTCCTGGGCAGAGGCATGGCTAACAAATAGGCATCAGAGAGTTTGCATAAATGGGGAGAAATCAGAATGGGGGGACATCACAAGCGGGGTTCCGCAGGGGTCAGTGTTGGGCCTGTTGTTGTTCACAATTTACATAAACGATGTAGATGAGGGAATAAATAGCGACATAAGCAAATTTGTTGATGACACCAAAATAGGCCGTAAAGTTCATTCTAATGAGAACACTAGAGCACTCCAGGATGATTTTAATAGACTGATGCAATGGTCGGAGAAGTGGCAGATGCAGTTTAATATTGACAAATGCAAAGTTCTAAATGTTGGACAGGAAAATAACTTTGTGACATATAAACTAAATAATGTAGATGTTAATACTATTGATTGCGAAAAGGATTTAGGAGTTCTGGTTAGCAGTAATCTAAAACCAAGACAACAGTGCATAAGTGTTTGCAGTAAAGCTAACAGAATTCTTGGCTACATATCTAGAAGTATAAATAATAGAAGTCCTCAGGTTGTTCTTCAACTCTATATATCCTTGGTTATGCCTCATTTAGATTATGCTGCTCAGTTCTTGTCACCATATTACAGAATGGATATAAATGATTTGGAAAACGTACAGAGGAGGATGACAAAGTTGATCCCATGCATCAGAAATCTTCCTTATGAGGATAGACTGAGGGCCCTGAATCTGCACTCTCTCGAAAGGCGTAGAATTAGGGGGGATATGATCGAGGTGTATAAATGGAAAACAGGAATAAATAAAGAGGATGTAAGTAGCGTGCTGAAAATTTCCAGCCAAGACAGGACTCGCAGCAATGGTTTTAAGTCGGGAAAATTCAGATTCAGGAAGGATATAGGAAAGCACTGGTTTGGTAATAGAGTTGTGGATTAGTGGAACGAACTCCCGAGTACAGTTAGAGAGGCTAAAATATTGTGTAGTTTTAAAAAAAGGTTAGACAAATACATGAGTAGGTGTGAGTGGGTGTAAGTTGGACCTGACTAGCTTGTGCTACTAGGTCTGATGCCGTGCTCATTCCTTAAGTGGAAGTGACCAGACTTGGTGAGTCATTGGGCTAATCCGGGGGGAGGGAGGGGGAGGGAGGACTTGGACCTGCTCCGCATGGGTCAGTAGAACTGTTGCAGTGTTCCTTCTTTCTTATGTTTATATATTATATATATATATATATATATATATATATTATATATATATATATATATATATATATATATTATATATATATATTATATTATATATATTATATATATATATATATATATATATATGTCGTGCCGAATAGGCAGAACTTGCGATCTTGCCTTAAATAGCAACGCTCATCTTGCCATATAGGACAAGCGAAAATTTGTGTATGCAATAATTTCGCCAAAATTATTGTGAACCTAACGAAAAAAATATATTTCACTGTGTTTGTTTAGCATTAAATTATTGTAAACAAATCTAAAATATATATAGTTGGGTTAGGCTAAAATAAATTGCTCTTGTTATAATAAGGTTAGGTAAGTTTTCTAAGATTCTTTTAGTGCAAAATTAACAAATTTTACATTAACATTAATGAAAAATATATATCTTTAAACGTATAAGAGAAATTTTCAGAAAGGACTTAATTTTAAATGAGTTCTTGCTAACTGAACAGTTTTACATATTCGGCACGACATGTATATATATTATATATATAGATATATATTATATATATATATATATATATATATATATATATATATATATATAATATATATATATATATATATATTATATATATATATATATATATATGTCGTGACGAATATGTAAAATGGTCAATTAGCAAGAACTCATTTTAAAAATTTGTCCCCTTTTTTATACAAACCAAAGAAATATATCATAAAATTGTCAATATTGGCAATATTATGAACAAGATCAAGTAACTTCCAGTCGACATGGTACTTGCTTTATACAGCATCTCAAACTTTTTGAAAATCAATTGATGTGTTAAAATCTCTCACAAGAATAAACATAGCATTGAATCTTGTCCAGTTGTTCTAATTCAATATTTATGTTTTGTTTTAATCTTAATATTCGAGATTTATTAACCATTTTTGTGAAAGTAATAAACTTTATCTCATATTTTACAATGAATCTATTTAGACACAGTCCGTCATCATTTAGAGGAGAATTCTTTATCAAAAACTTTTTTTACATGCACAAGATTTTTAAATACAACTTCATATTAAAGGTCTTAATAAGATAATGCAAATCAACAAGTTTTCATGGTAAGGAGAAACCAACATATTTTTAGTTTGAATAAGGCTGGCTGTTCCCTTCTTGGATTGTAAAAAGTATTTCTAGCCATTTAAAAAGATTTATCAATCGCATTAGCAGTACAACATTCAATTTATCATGTGAATTCTGGAATTACGTGAATATAATTAAAGGATATCTGCCTTGCTGGTACATTGGAACATTGAAAGGACTTGTGAAGGTCTCTAGAAGTATTCTCCTAAACAGAGTTTGTCAATGTTGTTACCTGATCTGAGTACACTCTTACAGAGGTTGGCTTATTTTGGTGGTGTTTTTCTGTCTTGTGTTTTTAATAGAAGATGAACAGTGGTAGCTCATTTTGAGTTTGCTGTTAAAAATGCTTGGAGATGTGTTTGGTAACGAGTTGAAGGGGAGGATTACATACTCCTTTCATTGCTGTCATTCTGGGAAAATTGAAAATAATACGACAACGTTGTATACATTTCCTTATGAAATGTCAAGGGTAGTGCAGTATGGTGATATTTATGCGAATAGTGGAGTTCATACCAA